TTATTTATAAAGCACAAATTACATATATATATATATATATATATATATATATATATATATATATATATATATATATATATATATATATATATATATATATATATATATATATATATATATATATATACATACACCAATCAAATCTATTCGATATAATAAAGTACTCATAAAAAATATGATGTTTATGAAAAGGATGATTTCATTTTATCATCGTAAATACTAGTATAGTGATAATGGGTCCGTATACGATGATAAAAATGATTTAATTGGAGCTTAAGAAAACTATCTCGTATAATAGTGAAAATTCTGAGTTGATATACAATGTATTTCATTTCATCATAAGTACCATTCATTCTTCACACATAACATATTTATAATTATAAAATATTTATAATTTCAGAATTTGACGATCAAAAGGTAAAGGATGCAATCAGAATTTCAAAGGAACGGACCTAAAGGAGGGAATAATGTGCATCCAGGAAAAAAAACACATCACATTTATTTTTTTTTATTATTTGTTTTCTATCGTGTAATGCCTTTTTCTTTTTTCAAACTTGCATTTGAAACCTTTAAGTTATTATTTGCATCATTTAAAGTTAGCTCCAAAGTCGGCTAAAACAGCATTATGTCCCCTTTTTGCATGAATTTTGGCCTAAAACTCCTTCATCAGAACAGGCCTGTCCCTAAATACAGGCCTGTCCCTAAGATACCGGTATTATAATTTGATAAGTTGTGATGCAATCAATATTTTAAGATAAGGTTATCTTTATTTAGGGGCACCCCTCTCCCAGAGTCGAAATTCAAAAAAAGGAAAAATGCGGAACCATCATGTTTTCGAAAACCCAGCTCACATTTCTATCAACTACGTATAGTATACCTATATTTTCATTATCAGAATTGTTCAACCAATATAACCACTGGCTTTTAAAACAGCGGGTATTTTTTCTAGATTCGTGATACTGGAGTTTAGAAGAGATTGATTGAAAACTAACAGAACAATATTTGATTTATGGACACAGAAAGCCTTCTACAGCTCTTTTTCCCAGGTAATAACTTCGATGATTTTTTTTTATATTAGAAATTGTAAAAAATTTCAAAGAACAACACAAATTAAAACAAGATTTTGCTGGGTTTTTAAAAAAAAAAATAAATGACATCAAAGTAGCACCTCTCAAATCTTCTGACATAAAAACTTTTTAAAAAGTCTATCATTAATACTCCAATTGTTTATATGCAATAATAGGTGTAAAGAATGATTGCTCTTAGTGTACAAAAAGTGGCCCCCGGTAAATTGCGCAAAAATAAAGTATAGAAAGTAGCCTAATGAGATTTATAAAGCAATTCTTCTAGGTCTTAATCGCAACTTTGCAAAATTACAGGAATTAAAAGTAAGTAAAACTAAAGAACGAGGCTGTGTTTTGTAAGAGGGATCACTGCAATTCATTTTGAATTTAAACATATTTTATTGATGTAATCAATTGGATCAGACACAAGTTTTTCCAACTTAGAATTTCCTCTCCAACACAAACAAAGAAAAAAAAACAAATTTATATACACGTGATGAACAACAAACAAATCTACAATGCAAAAAAGAAGAAAAGGGTGCAGAGAGATAAGAAAGGTAGGGAATGGGAGTGCAAGGAAAGATGAAAGAAGGAAGGGGATGTAAAGGATACAGAATGGTTACGCTTGCTGTTCAAAATCAAAGTACTCAGAAGTACAGAGAGCCGGGCTCATTTACAGAGTATAATGGATTTCTTACATGAATCACGTTTATATTCTGATGAAAAAATTATTTTAAAACTATCAATATAAATGATAAGACACAAACAGTGAGTTTTTCAATCCTAATACCACGGTCCGATATGTCAGAATCAGAATTAAGCTGGTACCGCAGCTGAATGTAAACAAACAGGCCAGTCTGCAGGCGCGGATCCAGAAATTTTTCAAAGGGGGGGTTGAAGTATTTTTCAAAAGGGGGGGGGGGTTGAAGGCGAAAACAGTTAAAACGTACGTTGTACACATACATATAGTTAAATAATTCAATAGAATATCGATACAGGGTGGAGTATGGTTTTTGAAAGTGGGACGTTGATCAATCTGGGAAAAAATACTTGTATACATTACCAGAAAGTTTTTGACAAAGAAAGAAAAACAAATATCCGAACCTGAAAATCCTATTTTGTAAAGGGATGGGGTTTTATTTTGTTTTTACAACTGAATTTCTCCTATTACAACATTAGCCTTTCACCTTACATTTTCTATAGTAAAAACACAACAACAAAATTGGAACTTTCTTATTTCTCTTTCTTTTTTGCAAATCCAAAGGGGGGGTTGCAACCCCCGTAACCCCCCCTCTGGATCCGCCACTGGTCTGGTTCCCGGCCCTCTCCTGCTTTACCTCGTATGTGTAGAGAACTACGGTAACACTGACAAGGTTAGCTTTTTTTAAAAAAGCTGAAGGTCAGCCACTGGAATACAGAAAGTTTCTCTCTTGTTTTGTAATGGTTTATGATTTGATCTATACATCATGTTGTGTTCCTTAAATGTAATAAATGCCATTGTAAGAAAGTTAATTATTTTTAATGCTGTACATAATAAATAATAAAGCATAGAATAAATTTTAGTTAGTCTGCATCGTGATCATTACAATGATCTCCAATAATTATATAAATTCTCTTCGGCTCAGACATCAGAGAAAGTTCATCTCATACCGGTAAATGAACAATTAAAAGCCACCATCACGTTAAATTCTATAAAAATGATATAGATTATGATGAATAAAAGGAAGGTAGACTTTGTGTTAGACTGTTTTTAAATATTATCAAATAACAGTTTTCAGTTGTGCATTTCGAGGCAATGCATGATGTCGAAGGGGGGGGGGGCATACTGCATGTATATTTAACTCAGTTTCTAAGTTTGAGCATCCATTTTAGTGTTATTAGGAATGAAAAGAATTGCTTCCCAAAAAGTAATGAACGCCACAGAAAACAATTCAAAATATGTTTATACATGCAGTACGTATACATAAAATGTCTTTGATGATGTACGTCTACCATCATAGCAAAACTATAGATTAAAATACTGGAATCCATCCCCTCCCCCTCTCTCTCTCCTTTCATTGGGGGGTGGGTGTGTGTTGACGCTGTCTATAAATCAGCACAGTTCTCTCAGCTATCGCATTTCCACTGCGGTCAAATTTCTCAAATGTGGGCGCGGTTCACGTGCACAAGCGGAATTGCACGTCCATCACCATACTGTCTTACGGTGGTCTTCCGATGTTTTCATAACCATGTTTTGATAACTTCTAGGCCTATCATTAGAGTGAAAAAAAAAATTGATCGTTCTTTTTTTCATTATTTTGGGACCTTTGTGGCAAGTGGATTGTTGTGTGAATTCCGACCCGTACATGTCTTATGCAAGGTATTGAATATTGATCGAGGGAGTCTTGCATCAGGCATCCAGAGGAGTACACAATTTAAATCTTCGGCTTGCAATGGCGATTGAGGGAATGAATGTACTTATCTTCTGTTAGAAGCAATGAAATATTTTCATAGTATGATTTAAAAACTGACAAATATCCCATCTAGAAGCTGAACAGTCGTCATAAATTTTCTTCGAGAACGACGAAGAACAATGCAGTCTATAAATAGATCGAGATCGTGAGTGTGCGTGAAGAAGCACGCCCTCTGGTTGGAGAATTTGTGCAAATCTTTTTTCCCAGAATTCCGATTAACGCAAGCGCACTTGCAGTTTCATCCTAACGTAACTAGTCAGAGGGGGCCGACTAATTATCAAAAATCCTTACGCTAATGAACTATGTTCTTTGACTTATGAAGTTTTCACAGTCATTACTACTAATGTTTATTTTATATAGATAAAACTTCGTTTTATTTTTGTTGCTTTATTTAGCGTTTGTTTTATCTCAAAAGCGGTTGAGAGTAAGAACTATATTTTTGCACGTAACTTTGAAATGGCGACTATGGGGTTAACATCCTGCCTTGAACAGGATCACATAAGCCGGCAATTGCTCTTTGAGCAATAAGCCCGGCTAAAAATCTGCAATTCATGAATTTCCATTGTTATTCAAAGTTATTCCGATCTTTAAAGCTGGAATACTTAGTGAGCGCATTCTTGTCCAAATTTCTTGAAAGGACAGAAGGTGTAGAACTGTTGGAAATACAACATATTTAAAGGAGAATTTTGGGCAAGCCTGCGCTCGGGGTAAACTTTTTGAAAAAAGGTACAAAAAGCCGACCGTTTTCTTCGCTATTTACGGGTATTTATATGTCATTGACCTCATTGTGACCTGTTTTGTATTCCAATATATCACGTGATTTGTAGACTCAGGTAACTTTGCGAATACAAAAAAATCAATAAATCACCTGGCTGTAGCTCCGATTGATAACATACTGCATCGAAAAGCGACCAACTTATGCCGTTACATGTATTACAATTTATCAACATCGAATTCTTTTTTTCGGCTTAGTAAAATTCATAAAATTAAAAAAAATTGACAAAATGTCATGATATTTTATTTATTGTAGTCCTTGGATTTAGGGGGCACGTTTGGAGGGTCAAAGAATTTCAAAGAGATTAAGACCCAATCGTCGCAATGCCATCATTCCTCAAAGTGTTTTTACTGTAAAAATATATGCACTCAGGGTATAGAAGTACGTAGATGGTTTAACACTGGAATGCTTTCTGGGACCCCCCCCCCCCCCCCCCCCCCCGAAAAAAAAACAAGAAAACAAACAAAAAAACCAATCACACATACAATTAATAAAATTGTTTTAGTAATAAAATATAACCACACACAGCATCACAACAAAAAAAAAACTTTTGTACACCATTATATGTACTATAAGTATTTACTGTACTTTTAAAAGTACGGAGAGAGAGAGAGAGAGAGAGAGAGAGAGAGAGAGAGAGAGAGAGAGAGAGAGAGAGAGAGAGAGAGAGAGAGAGATATTTAATTAATTCCATAGTGTTGATGGTGTTTAGCAAGCTTTTTTCATCACTTTTTCTAAGATTTCTGTCAACATTTTGTTATACTCTGCATCCATCGCCGTGCCTCCACATGCGCCACCTGTTGCTGCGTGGAGTTCTCTTAATCGACCATCACCCAGATTCTCATGAACAGTTATGTCAGCAGTCCCGCCTGCAATGATATTAGATTAAAGTAAGATACATTGACATTCAAACACGAGTCCTTGGTTCGTTTTATTTTTATGAGGTTGAGAAATGAAGTGTTGGTGGAGTGGTAATATGTTTGTTTCAAAGTAGCAAAACTAATATTTAACACGCAAATTCAAAGAATTATGGTCCCCCCGCTTTCGGTGTCTTTGTGGGTGAGATGTGTCAAATCTGGACGCCCTATCATATGTCATTTAGAAATTATCACCAAAGTTGATTTTAAAAAAAATGTCAATAGTAAATGCCAAGGTCAAGGAATAAGAAATCATAGCATGCTTGGATATATGTTGTCATGGGTAATGCACATGTCAAATATGAAAGCCCTATCTCTTCTCAATCAAAAGTTAAAAGGAACAAGATGCGTTCGTGAAACACTGATGACCCCGTATGACAACAAAGCGAAGATTAAATATTTTAAAAAATACGTCAAACTCCAAGGCCAAGGAAAAAGGGTCAAAGTTTTTGGTATTCAATGAAAGGTCTTCTCACGAGGATTACTTATGTGAAGTATGAAAGCCCTAGCCTTTACCGTTCAAAAGGTATGGCCAAGGTTAAAGTTTTTAAAAAGTAGGTCAAACTCCAAGGTCAAGGTCAAAGTATCTAAATGCTTGATATCCAATGAAAGGTCTTCTCACAGGGATTAAATATGTGAAGTATGAAAGCCTTAGTCCTAACCCTTCAAAAGGTAAGGCCAAGTTAACGTTTTTAAAAAGTGGGCCAAACTTAAGGTCAAGACCAGAAGGTTAAAGTTCTTGTTATCCAATAAAAGTACTTCTCACGAGGACTACAAATGTGAAGTATGAAAGCCCTAGACCTCACCATTTTAAAGTTATGGCCAAAGTAAAAGTTTTTTCATAAGTACAGAAATCTCCAAGGTCAAGGTCAAAAGGTCAAAGTTGATGATATCCAATGAAAGGTCTTCCCAAAAAAATGCATATGTGAAATATATAAGTTCCAGTATCTACCATTCAAAAGTTATGGCCAAAGTAATTAAAATTTTAAAAAATTATGTAAAGTGGGTCAAACTCCAAGGTCAAGGTCAAAAGGTCAGATTTGGTGGTACCCAGAGAAAGGTCTTGTCACAAGGAATACACATGAGAAATATGAGAGTCATAGCTCTACTAAATCAAAAGTTATGGACAATGTGAAAGTTTTTGTGACGGACTGACGTACGGACAGACTGACTGACAGACAGACGAATAAGATTTAATGTCCTCTCGCTTTCGCGAAAGCGAGGGACAATTAAGTAATACATGTATCTAGTTCTTGAAAAGGGGGTGTCCTAAAACGTAAAGATAAATATGTCTTTTCTTCAATTTTTTTAAGTCATAATTTCTCCTTAAGGGGTATTTAAGACTGTTAAATATGATATTTACAATTTTACAATTGATAGACTGTTTTTTAAATGCTGATGCTTTTTTTTGTTTATGTATTGATGCTGATTCATGAAACAAAATGAGGTCCTTGCACTGTAAAATATGTTAACATTATAATATATGTGGCCTTAAACTCATCAGTAAGATATATTGATGATGTACTATCAATTCACAATATTGATATTGATATAGATGTACGTCGATACACGATATATCTCGGTGAGCTTGAATAAAAAGATACTACAGAGTCTTACACATCTGTTTCAAATTTGGATATTTTACTTGAAAAAGACGTTAATGATAATCTAACATCAAGCTCTTTGCTAACCATGATAACTTTAACTTTTCAATCGTCAACTTCCATTACTTCTGCAACAATATACCTTCATCACCTGTATACGGAATTTATCTTTCTTAGTTGATTTGATACGCATGAGCATGCTCAACGTATGTACAATTTCTTAAACGAAGTAAATTATTGACAAACAAGTTGTAAAACAAGTATATCAGCAGTGTTGTTTGAGGTCATCATTTCGTAAATTCTATGGTCGATACAATGACGTTGTCAGCAAATACAATTTTTATTGAGTCAAATGCTGACTGGCGTCTTTCATATTGATTGTAAGTCTATTATTTACACCCTTAATTGACGACGGATTTTTCCGTTATTTCCTGTTCATGACAAGGAGCACACGGCGGGTATGACCGGTCGGCATGGGATGGTCACTCCTCCATGGCACCTGATCCCACCTCTGATGTTTTGGTCGTTTGTGTTTGCTCTGCTCCTATATTGTATTGTTTGATGGACTTTTGAGCTTGAATACTATTCGTTATCTCCATATATTTCATAAACTTTCCTTTATATGTCAACTCGACAATTCTCAGTGAATTTAAAATAAAGCTACAAGAGTCTGACAGCAATTTACTCTTATCACTTGCATATGGGGTTTATATCTCACATTTGATAAGATACCCAAGATCATGCTTTACCTACGAACGTATTTTAAACGATGGAAGGTATTGATAAACCTGTTGTTAAAACAAGAATATCAACAGTCTTGTTAAAAATCATCTCTTTGCAAGTTCCAAATCATGACCTGGTCAGATTTATGTATAGTTTATATAAAAATATTAAGAAAATACATAAGAAAAATGTTCTAAGAAAGATAACACTAACAGAAAATACAGTAGACAAAAATGTTTCTACACAGTCTAAGAAATGGAAATCTAATCTGATGAATATGAAATATAGAGATAACAAATGTTATCAGTCTCAAAAGTTTCCACTCATGAATGGCGTCGACCCATTAAAAAAAAAGTAGTTTACACAAAGATATAAAAATAAAAATAGGAAAAACTTGATGACATGCGTGTCTCTGGGTAAAAAATATCAACCATCAACAGAAAATGGAAATTGAATATGAATTTCAAACTTTGACCAAAGTTAAGACATAAAAATATCAATGTATTGTATTTTAAAGCAGCTAATTTGGGCATAGAGGCTGATCAAGATCTATTCTTCTTCCATTCGCGACGACTGAAATTCTGAAGAATAAAAACTGTGATTTTACTCCTTAGTTCGGTTTAAAGCATCGGATTGTAAAAAAGGAAGACGAATAGATCGTTGCAAGCCCCAATAACCTAATTTTGAATATATTTTATTCAATCTAAGGGTATTATGACGCCATTTACTTTAAACAAAACTAGAGGTATCGTGAGCAACGAGTTAACTTAGTGATACCATCGCCTCCCTTATGATTATAATGGCAAAGTCCATGTTTTGCTATGGAAAACCTCAAATATATGTCCCATCAAAAGTAAAAAAGGAGGTGCACAATTGCACTATGAACAAAGATTCTGTTAAACTTCACTAAATTTCATTTAGTTTTATAAGAGGAGCTTCGGATAAGAGATGGTAACCCCGAAGAGTAACAGACGTACGGACGTATAGACAGACTGACGGACGTACATCCCGATCACTATACATGTATATCCTACTACTTTTCAAGCAGGGGTATAACAAGAGATAGATAATTTCTTTCTTGAAAATAGTGTGATAAATTTTGCTGCATGCTGCATTTAGTTTTTAATTAACATAAAACTATTGCTTACAGAATTAATGTTGTTAATGAGACGCGGATGATCGATACATGTATGTAAGGTTGTCACAAGCATTGTGTATTTACTTTATCAAATCTTAAACTTACCTCCTATATCTATTATCATATATTTGGTCCCTCTTTCGGATAAGTAACCGGAGCTTCTATGGTCTGGGAGATGTTGACAGTACATAGATGCTGCTTCTGGTTCCAGAGCAATAGACAACAGTTCACCAGGTATCCCAGCCTCAAATTTTTAAAAGATTATACAATACGGAAAAATTCTTTAACGTAAAGGTTCTCAAAATAATAAAGAAGAACAACGCAAATTACTTACAAGTTCTGCGCATGTACGCATGAATTACTTTGCAGAGTCGCTCCATATAGCAGGGACCGTTAGCACCCTTCGAATTTCACTTGTTGTAATATCAAACCCCTGCAATGATAGTCGGTCCATCAGATGGTCCTTTAAAGCTTTAATTGATTTTGTGAACACATCTTTTGCTGGCCATGGTTTACCGGAGATATCAGGTATTTGGGTGTCTTCTTTTAAGAGCTACAAATAACATTGTGTATCTTTTATATTATTTTTACAATATGTAAAATATTTTTACATCAAGAAAACACTTATTTATCATGAAGAAGAATTTTTACGACTACTTACATCTCGGTTGTGGAGTTTCATTTTAAATCTAGAGAAGAACAAATAATTATCGCTGTCTCCATCCATCACCAAACTAAAAGAGCTACAAATAACATCGTGTATCATTTATAAATTTTTTAAAACAAAAAATGTAAAAATATTTTTACATCGAGAAAATACTTGTTTATCAAAAAAAAAAAAAAGAATTTCTTCGACTACTTACATCACGGTTGTGGAGTTTCATTTTAAATCTAGAGAAGAACAAATAATTGTCGCTGTCTCCATCCATCACCAAACTGCCACGTTTATTTTCTGCTTCGTAACCAAAACAGACAAATTCGCCCTCAGAATCCAGAAGAAGAGCAATGGGAGTCTTCATAGATGGCAGGGAACTTCCTCCAGCATTCCAGGCCTGATTAGCGTGGATCTTAAGAGGGCTTTCCCGGTATTCAGATCGAGAGCTAAAGGCATACCCTGAGTATGTCGTCCCAAAATCTAGAGCAGTCACAAATAGGTAGTCTTCAGATTTTACCGGGTCTTTTTCATCATAAAAATTGTTTGCATCTATCTTTGTAAAGTGTTTTAGTATGACAGATATTTAATTATATCACAGCCTCAAATGTATTTTAAAAATACATTTCGTAACTAAAGGCAATATGATGAAGTTGTCTTTTTGAGCAATTTGATATTTCAAAAAAATTAAAAGAATGGTACTTTGAACCTTTTCTTACGTACGTCCCTCAGTCATATTGATATGCTATAATCAGAAAATAAAAAGAAAGTACAAGAAGTTAAAGATTAGGATAATGGGTCGTAGCAGATTTATCTCTTCATTTTTGAAAAACACGATGACATACATCAAGGAAATTACAGAAGTAATATGAAACACTATCTATGTAAATATTTTTTAGATACTCGTCCATGTATTGTCAAAATATACTATCTTTAACTTAAGTATAATACTGTCTTTAGCCTAAGCATAAACCTGAATATCTTAATACCTTGAAGAACAATTATCGTTGGTATATAGCAGTTATATATATTTCTATGGTATTTATTTCATTTTTTTTTTTTCACACTGAAACTCTTTTTTAAAACTACTTGTTCTTATTATAATGGCATTAAAATATAATTTGTATTTTAAAAAAAATACGAATCTAAATTGAAGTGACACTTAGGACATTTGTATTGATTGATTGTATGCCGTCCCTCTCGAAAATTTTTCACTCATATGGAGACGCCATCACTAAGCTAAAATAGGCTTTGCCTGCTGCCCAATCCCATTCACAATGTGAATAAAATTTAGTGTAAATCAATTTTTTTTTTTTTTTAAAAAAGTACACAATAATAACGGTATTATGTCTTTTATTTCTGCATATGGTGGATTTCCTTGTTGTTTTCGTTTACTTTATAACCAATTAATATGTAGATTACTCAGGTTTTTCGGTGAAAGAAAATGAATAATTTCACTTCTTATTCTTTAACATTAATGAAACCAAAGAGATGACAATTTGGAAAGCCAAAGTTGTTGTTTTTTAAAGTTTGTTTGATTGTAGGTTTTGTTGATTGTTTAGAGTCAGTTTCTAGTATTTTCCCGCTCATATAGAGTAGCCAATACTTTTAGGCAAGGACTACAAATTTAGACCTATATTCGATACGCAGGGCACAAGCACTTGTTTCGGTATAAAAATATCCATAATTTAAAATCATAAGGCACTGTATCCGAATTACATGGAGATTCCTCTGGCCAGAATCGTACTCATTTACACGTTCAGAGAAGATCCACTGATAAACTGTATTTTATAACCATTGCCTTTTTCGATTATTTATTTGTCTAACAACCACATAAAGAATGTTTGTTTTTATTTTATTTATCTCCGTAAATAGCTTCAAAACTCTGGGAAAGATCACGAAATACACCATAAATCGATACGTTTTAATCCAAAACAAATTATGCAAAGAGTATCTTTAAAAAAATATCGGATAAAGTCGACAGTCTCGTTTAAGTCTTCATTTTGCAAGATTTAAGGAGGATATTTGACTTTGAAGAAAACTGACAAGCTTAAAAATATCATTGCTTTAAAAATAAAGCATTATATTTATCTTAAAAGATGTACAAACAGAAACGAGGTGGGTTGATATCCTCTATTAAGACAATGTATAAATTACACTAAATTTGACTTTGGAAGCAAATACAACCTATCATTATTTCAATATTTCGCTGAGTGACTTTTTCATGCTACATGTAGTTGTTAGGCCAATTTATTTTTACACTTTACACACTAAATTGCCTACTTAATTTTCAATTTTCCCAACCATGACAAAGACGGGACGGACCTTTTCTGATAACAGTTGAACCTTATATTTTATGTTGTTGGGTCCCGCCGAACCTTTAAATGAGACAGGGCAAATATTATGCGACACTGGTAGACAGGTGGCACCAAATTACACTTATCATGATTTTGGAGGTCAGTGTTTACTCTGCTCCCGATTTGAACGGAGTTTGAGCTTGAATACAGTTCGATATCTCCATATTTCACATTTGATTGATGAATATTGATTGCACAATGTATGTTGTTTTACGTCCCATTCGAGAATTTTTTACTCATATAGAGACTTCACCACATGCTGGTGAAAATTTTGAGCTTAACTAAGCACTCGCCGGCATTGAATAATGGATCCTGATCGTGCCAACGTCTGCTGTGATACAGGGCTCGGTCCCAAAAACCCACAACTTTCACATCAAACTGCCGAGTGCATGGCGAAGGAACAGTTGGTCCCTATTCTTTTTTTTATCGACTTGCGATCATGGAAGTCACGACCTTCCGAGCACTAAGCAAGCGCTCTACCGACTGAGGTAACGTGACGGTTTTCACGTTCGAAGCTCTTTTTCAAGCTTGCCAGACACAGGTAGGCACAAGATTACTGCATGAAAAAGATAGGTTTTTATTACCAGTTTGATAGACTGATAGATCTTTACAGACTTGTCCGAAAAGGACCAAATCTGAAGCCACCTTTCAAAAATGTTTGCTTCATGATAAAAATATGAAAAGATAGATGGGTATATTTTTTATTCAGAAATACGTGCACAATCACATGAGATAACAAGCTAATTCAGAGAATTCGTGTCCCCCGCTTAGGGAAAAAGTCGGCTCCCCCTGACTGAATTTGTAGAATTATTAAATGTATACATGTATACTGAAGCAAATAAAATACATGTATGTCAATATGCATATAAAGATTTGATTGCTTATTCTTTATTATGTGTATAGAAGATTTTTTTATATGGAATCTTTATCACACTGTAATGATGATTTTATAACCTCATAAATTTTTCATTTCACATGCTGAATACTGTAAGCCAATGATGAAAACTTGTCTGCGTTTTCAAAAGTTTATTAAAGAAATCCAATTTATAATTTTCTTCGTGATCGTATAGTTTTTAGAATTAATCTGAAATATGTTCAGAATAGACCAATACACTTTTTATACAACTGTTCAAAGGATCCGTCCAATATAAAAAGAATTTAAGACTGAACTCCAAATATTAAATAAATAAAAGTCCAAAAGAATGATTCCCAGAATAATAAAAAGCCAAAGAAGTGTGATAGTTCGAGAACAAAACCGGGAATGCTCTTTTCTGACTAAAACAGGGTATTTTGTGCTCAGTGGGTATCCATGGTCCCGGATATAAAAATGCATTTCATTGGATAATTTACCCTCACCAACCACCTACGCTTTGTCCGTAGGTTTGTCCGTTGACCTATGAACCCCAACATGGCACCACCCTCGAATATGGATAAATACATGTTACTAATATTTATGGGCTCAGTCCTCATCTCTGCACCACAGGAGTTCTAGCCTTAAGCTCTTTTACTTACTTACTTCAAAGTTCCCAATTTTATTGTTCTTAGTCAAAACTCTTAATGATACCATTGTATT